AAAAAAAAAAAAAAAAACCCTTGTGACTTGGGTTTCTTATTAGGCAACTGATCTTCTGTGACCTGTCAAGAGGAAACAAGGGTGCAGGGGAAATGGGTTTGGAGCCATGGCTGCAGTGATGTCCAGGGTGAGTCTCTGTTGTCTGTTGGCAGCAGGAACTCCTCGGGACACTGCCACAGTTCTGCAAGTGCTGTCAGTTACAGTCATGTGTGCTACATTTTCTGGTATACAACTGTGTATGAATGTTTTTTTTTTAAAGGGGGGTTAGCCTCCATGGACAGCTCCTCCAAGCTGCATTTTGCAATCTATACCCTGCCCCTCAAACCAAAGTACGATTCCAACTGCTGGCTGATCCCAAGTAGGACTTAGATGGACACAGGCACTCACCCAGCAGCTCCCTGGCATAATCAGCATGAGTTTTTGCTGCTCTCAGCAAGAGTCTTGCTACTAGTTTTGGTTAACCCGTGATGGCCATGGCTTTTCAGGACTGGCTTAGAACCCAAACAAAAGCCAACCTGGCAAAAGCTTTCTTGTATGGTACATTAACCCACCGTGGTTTAATGTGTCATGCTACTCAGGTCACTATTTGAACGTGTGCATTTATATAAGAGCCTTCTGCAAACTATCAATGCAACATTCAGGAGAGCGAAAGGGTATGTAAATGTGCACTAAACTCTGGGGTACCAAACTAAAGCCTGCTGAAGGAAGAAGGGGTACAAATGCTCGTTCAAGAGACAGGGTAACACCTTTCTTCATGCTGCACAAAACAAGAGTGTAAATGACAGACCTCCCCACACCCAGCACTAAGTCAAAATGTTGTACACCGCACTGGTGCATAGCTAAGTTCATCAAATGCCTGCATCAGATGCTCAGACAAGACATGGCTAAGCATGTCATTTGGAGTCTTCCTCTTTTTTCAGGGATGCTATGTTACTGAAAGCAGTTGCATTAATAATGGTTTCAAGCAGATTTTTAAATTGTACTTTCAGCTTGCAGACACAAGCCAAAAAGAAAATGCAAAACCACTTAATCACTTGTGGCTTTGATGTATTCTGCATGATTTTCTCTGATGATAGGCAGTCTCCCCAACATGCTAGCCCCAGGAGCTGTGATTAAGTTATTGATGTATGTGAGCAAACGCAATCATATTTGTTGTAAGTGTGATACTGACTCTAACTCTGCATGCACGCAAGTCCCCCAGCAGTTGGTTCTGATTATTTCTCAATAACACTATTGGAGGGAAGGTGTGAGTGAACCTGGATTATTCCATTGGACAGATCAAAGGGCGCACTGATAAACGGAGCCAGTATAACTATTTCAGAATATAGAAATGTATAAATAGGAGATGCCTAAGGTTTAGATTTACTGCGTGTGTGTGTTTCAAAAATATGGGTCAACTTGTGGTTTGCCCTTGTTCTTTTATGCGAATCCACCCAGATTCTATCACTGAACTTTTTGAAAGTCTTGGGTTTGCTCTGTTTAATAAACATTTAAAGATTAACTCTAAGTACATGTTTGAAAAACAAAACAAAGGGAGAGGAATTGAGGCAGAGGCCCTCAAATATAAAAGAGCTCTGATGAACCGGATTTTGTTGTTTTTGCCAAGAGGCTTCCCTGTGAAATCCAGTGCCAGATTATCCATCCCATAGTATGTGCAAAAATGTCCCCAAAATTATTATTCATGTTCTATTACATAAATACCCTGCCTTCCTTCCTTTTGCAAGGAACTCAACATGGCTTACAAGTTTCTCATCTGTATTTCATCCTCACAACAACAACCATACAAGGTAGGTTAGGCTGAGAGTCCAAGACTGGCCCGAAGTCGCCCAGGAAGCTTCATGACTAAGTGTGGAATAGAACCCAGAGCTCCCAAGTCTCAGTCCCACACTCAGTCCCAGCTGGGGCATCATACTGGGTCCAAAAGAATGAATGGAGTAGTATTGGCTTATGTGAGCTCCCAGTTTGCACACAAGACAAAAGCTGACTTTCCAATAGTTTCTGGCATGTGTGCATATGGGTTTGAGCTTTCTGACCCGAATTTGAAAGCCATTTGACTTCAACATGTGAAAATGGTTAAGAGCTAAAGGACAACACACACAAAAGTAAGTACACATAATTTGAAAGAGACCCTTAAAACTAATCCAATGAATGACAGTTCAAAACTTTCACTAAGAGCGGGGAAAGTTGCTTGTTTGTAGGAGGGAACGATGAGCGTTTCCATCTGATCTGCCATCCAGCCTTCAATGTCAACAGGGCTGAATGACCTTTGAAAGGCTAACTGATCCCTCAGTTTTTGCATCAGTAAAATATTCTTGGAGATCAGATATAATTAGTAGAGTGTTTTCCATTCCTCAGCACTATCAGTCAAAATACTTTCTGCACCTATTCAGCCTTTTCTAACAGATTTCTTCGTTGAAAGAAAAAAAGGAGAAGTGGAGGGGGGATCAAAGTGTTACAATGGAAGTCAACAGCATTTGGATCCACCATAGAATCCTCTGAACAAGGTAGTACAATCGGACAATAAAAGTCTCATCTTTAAACACCTTGATGATGGTTTAAAGAAAAATAATAGTAAAAGCAGAACCTAGCCTGGACAGAGAAAGGGAATCACCAACCATCTTGTTTGAAGCATAATGCAGATCACAACTCTATAAATGGCTGGATGTTGTGAAAAGCTTAAGTGATATTTAGAACAAAAGGCAGCCCCTCATGCTTCTAGCAAGCTCCAGCTCTACCGCTATGGCTTCTACCACAGGGAATTTCGATTGTGGGTAAGGAAGTGGGTGCAGGTGTATTTCCAAGCAGTGGAGCCCTGACTGGGGTTGTTTCATGGTATGAAATGGGTGCAGCTACCCAGCAATCCTGTGTGTTGTCCATATCAAGACTTCTATAATTGATAGTGAAGACAAGAGAGTTCCCTCTCAAAACATACCACAAAGAAGTCTTGAAGAAGCAAACAACAAGAATAAAATCTACGAACAAACCACTACATCAGGGAATGGCAGTGTGGGGCCTGTGGGCAACAATGCACCTTGAACATGACGGACATCTTCTTGGCCATCACCAAGATGCTCTACAAGGCTCCCTTCCTTCCCCTAATCGATGCATTTTCTTACTGGAAGCCAAGATTGCTATGAAATATGCTTCTGTTGGTGGGTTTGCCAGGAGGTCCTCAGTATGTGGGGGTTCTGCCCCTACCTCTGCCTTATAGGTAGTCTTTTGGGCAGGTTACTTTTCCTTTGTTGTAAATTCCATAGCAACTAAGTTGTAGTGGTACCCTGGACAATTTCTCAAATTGCTAAATGTGCCACAGCCCAGACAGGTGGCCTACCACTGAGCTACATGGTACTTTCAAAACTCAAGTCAATTATAATAAAGAAGTTAAAGAAGCTGTAGCAATACTATCCAGGTTCATCAGTGTAGAACCTTGCCTTGGTCATTAGGGTACAGTAAAAAGAAAGTTGCAAACAACCACAACAACCCCATAAATGCATAAAACCATTAATGGTAAAATATTCAGGATTAACAAATCTAGCAAAAGCAGAGACATGCCAAATCATTATATCTTGATCCCTGGACGTCAGTTCAAGCACAAATAAAAATTAAAATGTTTCACTTATTTACCAATAGATCCCTGTTCGACCATTATATTTGTATATACACAGTATTACCTGTCATATAGCAAATTTATTGACATTGTAAAGAATAAAGAGAGAGGAAAACAGGCAAAATGAGATTATTTCCCCCCCCCATCCATTCATATTTGTAAAATTAATCTTTTCTTTCCAAATCAAGCAACTCAGGTTCAAGCTGCTATGAGTTTCTCAAATAATTTTAATTTTTAAAATTTGATATTTGCTCGGGCTTTCTTATTTTTATTTACTTGTGTGGATGTAATACCTAAATATTCTTCTTAATAATAATGAAATGCTTCTGCACTACAGAAGAAATGGAGGATAGCAAGAAACATTGTGAACAAGAGAGTTAGATTTCACATTCTACTGTGCAGGTGCCACATTCTGTACCTTGGACAGTGTACCTAAAAACTTGCTACCAGGTTAGTTCTTCTCATTTCACTCCAGGCTGATATCAATCATGCTTTTCTACAGGAACTCTTAATGACTCACCTGACACAATTGTGTATCCAATACCTCTGGGGCGTCCTTTGTCCTGGTCAATTGCGGTTATCATGCGCACAGTTGTACCCTGGGGATCACAGATAAAGGAAAAGGGAGGAATTGAGTGTACCAGCAACTGCTGAAGTGCATCACTTCCATACTGCTTATCATACTTGCAATTCATTTGGTAATTCATAAAGCTTGTTCTCATACATGCAAAATATTCTAAATCTCTATGAACAGATCCAATGGCTAGCTTTGCAACTCTTGAGAAGACACATATCCACATATGGAAACTGTTAACTGCAGAGGAGCTCGAGGACTGCAAAAGACATCTGGTTGAATATCCAGAAGAAACTTTCCCTATACAGGCCTTGAGTATCATTTTACTATTCAACTCACACTCCTACACAGTTATACCAGCAAATCTCCATCTTGACCTATAATTCTCAAGATGACACCAACACGATGTGACCCATGTGCCATTCATATTCTTGTGGATAGGCACAAGTGGGAATGAATGGTGGTTTTCAAAAAGTGGGTGGCTGTTCAGCAGGGATTCTGAAGAGAACAACAGTACCGTTTTCTTTCTTTCTTATCATGGGGCCAGTGAGCTGAAGTGAGGTGAGATCACAAGGTGAATGTGCCTATTAGTGCTGATGTTCTGTTTCTGACTTAGGTCACTTTCTCCTGGGAGCTGAATCAAAGCCTTCTCACATGGAGGGGATAGGGAGGAAGTACAGTCTTAAAATGTACATGCAGTTTTTTTCTTTTTTCTTGAAAACCAGTATATTTTATTGAATTGTGCAGTACCTATGCAATCAATCAGTAGCAAATCATTAATAACAGATAACTATTTACACACTTTGCGGAGAAACCATTTTCTGCTATTGCCAGTAATGTGAAAGCACGAATGTCCCTCAACATTAAAATTAGTTTGTTTGTCCATCGTTCTTTGATGGTAGGTCATGGTACTATCGTATCTAGATCATATCACTGGCTATGATCATCATTTGCATGGCAGGATCAAAATGAAATTTCATACTTCAAGTGTAGTTCAGTTCCAATATTTCGGTATGGAACTTCAAGTACCTAGTTCACTGGCTGTGTGAGATAGTTATTCCTACACGAATGCAACAAGAGCATTTAAGAATTGAGCCATGCACACAATACAAAGCTCTGTAGACCGCAAACACGCACCCCAGACATACTGCTCTGTAAAACAAGTATTTCCCTCACTTGCATATAAGGAAGTGCTGGGTTTTTAACAGAGAAGCCCTCTGTTCCATTCAGCAGTGTAGACAAGGCCCTAACTACTAGGCAATGGGGGGGGGGCAACAGGTTCCAAAATTGCTGAAGTGGAGTCTTCTTTTCGCCTTAGCTTTAATGCTGAAAGATGTGAAGGCTATGAGTTTTCTCCTGGGATCATGGTTACTCAACAAATGTCCTTATTTACACACATAATAATAATTAATGTAGTGTGAACACATTTATGACTTTAGGCTATTGTGCTTTCCTTTGTTTATTGAGACCCAGGGAAATTTGTTGTCCATTCTGGACCTCACTCTAAAAAAAATATTGTCAACAATGGCATTTGTAGTCTAATGAAACAGCAAGAGCACACATCTGCCTTGGCAGAAGTAAACCAACAGTGCAATTTATCATCTGGAGACTGAAGGTCAGGAAGAGTCACTTCACTTCTCTTGCTTATCCAAAGCACATGAGTCCTTAAACTGCAGCTTCAGAGGGTACCAGGTACCCAGCCCTGGGAGGGGGAAAGAGGTTTGTGTTCTACTGTTGCAGTAAAGAGGTGGACCAAGAAACTTGGTTGGCTACAAGGCTCCCAGACTGAGGAGGATGCCCTGTAGAAGGGGCCCAAGGCCTTCACTGCCCTGCTATTGGGCAACTGGAATTTCCCTGTGTTTGGTACAACACACCACTGAGACGATGAGCAGAGACTGCCTGGATACTACATGACGCCTCCTCATCCACATTTCCATGGGCTGTCTTCTTTCACCACCCAGAAGGGCAAAGACAAGGAAGGCAGAGCATCAGCTACATGGAGGCCACCCCACAGCTATCAGGCTCCAGTCCTTACCTGGCCTCATTAGAGCAGGAGCAGCCCAGGTACCACAGCCAGGCCCTCACCCCCCTCCCCTCCATCCAGTGTTTCCAAGCCAGATGCCCCATTTCCACCCTGGTGGTCTGTACTTCTCAGCATTTATTAGCTCAAGAATCAGCACAGCTACCAAAGTAACCACAAAGAACCTTAACTTCATGGCTTAATCTTTCAGACAAGCATAAGTCGCTGGCAGGATGGACTACATAGCTGTAGACAAACCAGGAGCCTGGCCTGAGCCCAAGAGCAGGGACCAGCCTCTTCACTTCCCAATGCTGGGAGAGGGAGATCCACAGCACTTGCTCAGGGGTTGCACACCCACTACTGTCCCACATGGGATACAATACCGAAGGAGCTAAAGAAGGAAACATCCCAAATGCAGGAAGGCAAGAAGAGTTTTAGGCTAACACAGCTCTAAATACAAGGGCCATCTCCACTAGGGCCACCCAACATAGTGGCAAGCAGACCATCACTGCCCTGGGGAGGGGCACCACAGCCCCATTTAGTTTGAGGAACACTACCCTGGATGCTCCACCAAGCTGAAGAGCACAACACAACTACAGGGGCATAAATCGTCAACCAAGTGATTGTGGGCCCAGACCACAAAGAAATCCAGGTGCAGGTAGAGGCGGAGAGGCAACCCAAGGTTTTTTAGATCCTGAACCTGGAGTGTGCCTCTCACAAGCATCTCTCACCTCTCTTTCCCCAGCCATGTGATCATACCACTGGGCAAAGAAGAAGATGCTTGCAGCTTTTAAAGGGACTGCTCAAATACACCACACCTGCCCCTGCTGGCAGGTCTCGTGAGGCAAGGGGGTATGGCTGGGTTACTCACAGTCCTCAGAAGGTCCAGAAAACCCTGTTGCCAGAGTTCTTCATGACACCCTCTGGCATGGCACTCCCATCAGAGCTCAAATCAACTGGTGATCGAGTGAGTATGGGACTGGATCCACCATGGGGCTATTGCCACTCTCCTCTGAGAAAGAGAGGCTGCCACAGCTGGAACTGCAGGGGCCGCTCAAGGGTCTGTGGGATGTGCAGCTGAAGGCTGCCTGCCACAGGCATCTGCTGGCTTTCCTCCCCTGGCTGGGTGGGTCCAGTCCCAGGCAAGAGAGAGGCTATTTGTTGCTTCTCCGAATGGCTGAGAAGGCTTTGAAAATGGGGATTCTGGAACAGGGAAGCTCCAGTAAATCTACTCCTGGGAGACTTCTGCTAACAACTGCTCTACCCTTTGCATTGCAAAGGAAGAACTGACCACTTATAGGCACTGAGAAGAGTTTTGGAACACTTTCCCACAGATAACTGGTTTACTAGCAGCATACTTGGACCTATTCCCAGGGAGCTGAATTGCCCATATGACAAGGAGGCCTACAGCCTCAAGGAGGCTCAGCCAACATGTTCCCTGGAAGATTTACACAGATAACCGGTCTATCCATTGCAGAGTGCATTGACAGGAGACCAGGCCTTACATGAGCAAGCTTATATCTACACACACACACACACAGACACACACGCATATGAATGAGAGAGAGAGAGAGAGAGAGAGAGAGAGAGAGAGCGCTTTTCTGTGTTGTGGATTGCTAGTGTCTCATATGCCATTGTCCACTTGAAAATGAACTCATCTGAATCCGCTGTGGATTTCTTCAACATCACTACAGTCTACCCAAGCCAATGCAGGGCATGCCTGGAGCTATGAAAGCTGCCTTGCCCCAGACTGCTGTGACTTTTAGCCAGTCAGCCTACTACATGTGCCCTGGATTCCTGCAGCCAAGAACTTAATTTGGTGATTCCACTAGCCTCACTTCCCAGAATGCTTGGTGTCAGGAAGCTCCTATTCGCATACATCCCAAACTATAACCAGACAAGTTTTCTTGTGTGTGTGTCAGCTGCTACTGCTTGAAGATTCTAACAGGTTCATGCAATCATTTTTTGTGCTAGACCCTTGCCCTGTTCGGCTAATAAACAGCAGGGAGGGAACAGTTGGCTGGGCCAGGGAGATGATCGATATTTTCTTGCAAGACGAAATGCTCCCATGCTACTGGAAAGCAGTGATGGTGAGGCCACTCCTGAAGAAAACCTATCTGAACCTGGAAGTCCTATCAACCTTAGGTCAGTTGTTTCTTTGAACGGGGTAGTGGCCAACCTCAGGAATGCTAACAATTATCTCAATTCATTTCAAGATGCAGGTTCGGTTTTAGCATGGAAACAGCTTTGATCACCCTGTATGATGATCTATGATGGGACAGAAGAGGGGGATTACAACTCTGTTGATACCCCTGAATCTCTGAGAAGCTTTTGTTGCCATCAGTCATGGTATCCTGTTGGAAGTGGGGGGTACTTCACTGGAAGGTTCAGCGCTTACTTGAATGGTTGGTTCCAGAAGGGTGTCCTTGGGGAATGATGCCAGCCCCATGGACTGTTGTCCAACAGCAAAAATGGAGAGGATGAAGGCTAAGGCTCACTCTAGTCAAGCCTGAAATGTGTCTGAAGCTCACTCTAGTCAAGCCAGGTGAGTGGATCCTCTGACAGGATGGAGGGTGCTCAGCCTGTTCTAGACGGGGTTTCACCCCTCTTGAAGAAGCAGGTTTGTAGCCTGGCCTCCTTCAGTGATACGAATGCAGAAAATATTGTGCGTGTCATAATATGTTGAAAATGCCTTACATATAGTTTCCCCAGGCATTTTAAAAGACATTTTATGGATGTATTCACATTAATCTGAAGGCACTAACTATAAATCCTTAGTAACTGACCTTTGAAGAAAATACAGAAAGGAGAGTTTCTAAATCACCAGTAGTGATTATGTTTTCCAAGTGAGTAAATACAGCTAAAGAGGCTACAGGTTACTATGCTGAGCAACCCTCCTTTATTTGGAATTTAACATAGCTCAACAGCACAGTACATCCATTAAATACACAAAGTCTGACATTCAATCCTTCTGTTCAAGCACCTAGAAATTCTGGGAGACTGCT